GTACGGCTGCAGGATCTGCATTTTGTACCTGAGGATGCGAGAAGAAAGATGACGAATATGATGATGATGTTCACCCCAGTCAGCTTGAGAAACACCCGCTGGAGTATCCCAGATTGCACGAAACCACCCATTGAGTAGTAAGGCTGCCCGCTCGCTTTCAGGCACCATATTTGGCAAAGTGTGCGGGTGGATTCTTGTCCGGGCCCGCTGCTCTTGTGTGTTCTTGCACTCCCACAGGAGGTGTCGAGTGGTGGCCGGGACGCCGCACTCCTCACAGTCATGAGGTACATCATAATGTATATGATGAAGGCGATCCGGGCTAGGCTCAGCCCCGACCACACACCGCCATGCCCATGTGTGTTGCAACTTGGACTGCTTGTTTACGAAGTCCCGGAGTGTCTTGACATCCAAGCTCGGCAAGTCCACTGGCTCTCTGCGAACCGTGGTGGTGCTAGCGTCCCTCATCATGAAACTGCGCCACGCCTCGCGGACGTAGTGCTCCAGCTTGCCCTTGGATAATCCGATGGGGAACGGTGCCCCTGAGAAGGTCGGCTCGTACGGGCTCGTTGGTGGCGCAGTGCCAGCCCATGTCGTCGAAAGCGGTGCGCATCCGGCCGATCCAATTCTCGAGGAGCGGCGGCCCCCCTGCCATTGACCTCCACGCCCGGCGGACGAGCGGCTGGAGGGGGCCATTTCTGGTGCTTCGCAAGAAGCTGTGAAGCTGGAGAAGATGACGCCCATGGGCTCGATCTTCCAGCCCTTGTCGAGGAGTCACCAGGCGGCGCCTCGGTGTCGCCAGGTGGCGTGCCTGTGCCTGGTGAAGAGGGCCTGCTCTACGCGGGTGCGCATGGCGCTGACGTCCGCTGCCTTCATGGAGCACCACGGCCCGTCCCAGCGAAGGAGGCTCATGGTGGAGAGGACGATTCTGAAGACCAGGTTGATGGTCAGCTGGGCTCCTCCGCACACGCGGCGGATCCTGTCCAAGCGGTTGAAGAGCTCCTCCCTGCGCCGGGCAGCTCGGGGGGCCTCCGAAGGCGGAACCGTGCCTGTGAGGTCAAAGCGAACCCCGAGGAGGTCCAAGTGTCCCCGGGGAGGCTTGCCAGCCCTTTCGCGTTCCTTCAGGAGGTGCGGCGGCAGGTTGAAGCCAGCCCACTCCTCCTTGCTGGGGTCTCCTTCTGGCCACTCGCGATGTCCAGCTCCTTGAGGCCCGTCGATGGCGGCCACGGTGTCGATGCCCTTGGCGGTGAGGGTCCTGTCGTCCACGTACGTGCGGAACGAGAACGTATCTGGATTGTGCAGGGCGGCCAGCCGGCGGGCATGGGCCCCGGCATAGAGGGCGGCGCCCAGCGGCGACGCAGGGTACCCTTGCGGCATACCACGCTCTGAGCAGATAGGATCTGAAGCGTACCCCCCCACCTTCACGACCGCGGAAGTGCCGACGGCCGACAAGAACAAGAAGTTGCTGTCCACTTCGTGCATGCCGAAGGCCATAGCGAGGCGGTGGGCCATCTCCGGTTGCAGCCTGGTGAAGCAGTTCGACAAGTAGGACTGCCGAGCAATGAGTGGTGCGCCAGAAGCCCGGGCGGCCTCTATCTCCATATCCATGCTCAGCAGGTTGTGGATCGCATTGGTGGGCTGTACAGCTTCAGCCCAGCTTTTGTACCGTCCAGTGATCACTTTCTGGAAAGCCCTGAAGACGGCGGCGCCGACTGTGATGGGTCGCAGATCCTCTGTGAGTGCGCCATCGAACCTTGGGAATCATCGTGGCAGGGCTGTGCGGAGGGCGTCGGGCCACTTGCCGCTGGCCCGGACGGCGTCCCCCAGGGCGCCGAGCGAGGCGATGGCATCCAGGGGTGCCTTGGCGAGCAACCCCGCCTCGAAATCGCCGGGGCCGCAGGCGGTGCCAGCGATCGCCCGCAGGGCGCCGCGGAGGAGCCCCAGGTCGTCGCCGAAGGCCCAATCCGCCGAGGGCGCCGGCAGAGCCTCGATCGAGCTGCGGACCATCTCGAAGTTGGTGTTCTGGCGCCAGTCGTCCAGCCTCTCGTGCTGCTTGGCGTTGCACTGCCGGACAGCCTCGGCCACCAACTGGGTAGGGTCCGCGGTCGGCTGCGTCTGCGGCCCGGGTCCTCCCGCCGAAACCGCAGGAGCGGCAGTGAAGGGCTTGTTCTTGACGTAGTCGAAGATGGCCTTGAGATTGCCACCCTGTGCCCGTGCGCGCCACTGCTCGATGCGTTCGTCGGCGTTCTGCTTACCCATCTTGCCCAGCATGGCCTTCAAGGTGTTCCCGAGCGCCGGGTAGTCGAGGAGGTCGGTGTCCTGGTCCAGAACCCCATCGGCGATGAGGCTCTGGAGGCTCCGCTCGATGCTCTGCACAAGGTCAGGGTGATCCTGCCCCGCCCTGTCTTTGAATTGCTGCTCGGTGATGCGGCGCAGGAGTCGGTGCAGTCGTCGCTCCACTACACACATCCGGTGCCCGTGGGCGCCCCGGAACGTCCTCTGCCACTTCTTCAAAACAGTGCCAAGATGCCGTGTACGCTGATCTTCTGGGACCCCGCAGGAAGCCTCCAGGCAATCGCACCATATCGCCCATAACTGGTCGACGTCATTTTCTCGAAGTGCTCGCTCCCAGGCCGCTGCTTTGGATGCAGCTGCGGATCGCCATTCCTCCTCCCAGTCGTCAGGGATGCGTTCTCAGCTGCGCGTGGGGGACGCAAGTAAGCCTTGCCACTGGAGCCTGCGGTGGAGCTCCACAGGGGGCCACGAATCGTTGTGCAGGATACGTAGGGGAGACGCGTCTGGACCCTGCCACTGGGGCCTTCGGTGGAGCTCCCCATGGGGCTTCGAAGCGCTGTACTGGGTGGGGCAAACGCGTGCAATCCGTACAAATAGGGCCTTCGGTGTAGCTCCCTGTGCGGCCACGAAGCGCTGTACTGGGTGGGGAAGACGCATTTGAATCTGCCGCTGGGGCCTGCGGTGGAGCTCCCTATGGGCCCGCGAAGCGCTGTACTGGGCGTGGGAGACGCATGTGAACCCTGCTGCTGGGGGCCTTCGCTGGAGCCCCTATGGGCCACGAAACGTTGCATTTGGCAGGGGAGACGCATGTAAACCCTGCCACTGGGGCCTTGCTGCGGCCAGGAACTGACAGCGGCCGCTGCCAGGCAGATCACACTGGCCGTCGCAAGGACAATAACGTGGCGAAACTGAGACTAAACGAATCCTCGCCAAAGCGAGCACTGCTCAGAATCCGACTGTCGGCGCGCGGTAGATTACCAGTGGCGACGAACTGGCGGGGTGCGGTGCTTGCCGATCAGGACGTTTTTTTTGCAGGTCCCTGACGGGGGACGCCATCCCGCCAGGGCACCTCGGACACGGCACCGCACCCTCGAAGGGCACAACAATCACAATTCGCAGAGGGCAGATCCCGAGGAGGAAGGATAAAGAGGAGGAGGAGGAGGAGGAGGAGGAGGAGGAGGAGGAGGAGGAGGAGGAGGAGGAGGAGGAGGAGGAGGAGCGGGAGAGAACGGGGAGGCGGAGGAGATCAGCGCGCGGCCATGGGGTCTGCGCCACCCAACCCCGCCGTTGGGCGCACGCGCATTGGCCTCGAAGCGTTGCATTGGGCGGGGGAGACGCATGTGGACTCTGCCACCAGGGCCTTCGGTGGAGCTCTCCATGGGGCCACGACGCGCGTGAGGTGTTCTCCGAACCGGTAGACTGACGCGGAAAGCAGAAATACGGAGGGGGGATGAGGGGGAGGTGGAGGAGAGAGTAACAGGGGGTGCCGTCTCTTCAGAAGGAGGACCCAACACCACATGATGGTTGGGAAACACGTCGGTCGACCACCTGCGCCCAGAATGCTGGTGGGAGCGCGGATCCGATGTATTTTACGAGGGCTCGTCAACAAGGGGGCAGCACTCGCAATGCACTCAGGTCATGCTTAGAGGGGGCTTGGTGGGGCCGTGAGGAGACTTGGAGAGTGGAACAGGTATACACCCCAGGTTTTTTTATGAAGCAACAGCGCACAAGCCGAAACAAGTGACGGCTCACGGCCAGGAGGCCCCACAGGAGTGCTGGTGCACGCTGCTCCTGCTGATGCTGCTCTTCATTCGTCTCTCCCTTTTCCGCTCCTGCTTTTCCTCCATTCGCGTGCGGATGATATTGGAAAAGGAGCCCTCCTCCCTCCTCCTCTTCCCGAACATTAGCGGAAGCATGGAGTCCTCCTCCCTCCCTTTTCCGTTCCTGCTCATCCTCCAGCTTCCGCTCCTCTTTCCTCGCCCTCTCCTTCCTCCGCTCCTGCGCTTCCTTCCGCCCGAGGTTGGCCCTTAGGGATCGGTTCGGGCGCTGCGTCATGTCGGGAGGGGGGCGATAAATGGGGGGGGGTGAAGACAGGTGCACCTTGTGCCCTGAAGGGGCCCCCTGAGCCCAAAGAGGCACGAAAGGTGCGCGTGCTTCGCCCCCCCCGCATTTATCGCCCCCCTCCGTAAGCAACGCCCAATCGGTTTGCGTTCAGCTCTCTGTGGCCGTTTCTACGTCATAGATCGTTGCGTGTCCTTCGCGTTCTGCGGCCGCGCCAATCTCAAGTGGGGCTTGGCGCACCCGATCCTTTCTCTGTTTGCGCAGCGGTCCGTCCGCAGGGTTTGCAGTGGTCCGCAGTAAGGTAAGACCTCCCCCTTTCCTCCCCCTCCTTTTTTCATCCTCTTCACCCTCTGGACACCTCCAGAGGTTATGGCAACTACGTATGAAGACAACAGGACGCGTTCGAAGGCCTCTGAGAATGGCCGATGACAATCCTGCGCCACCTGCTACTGCGCCTCGTGACGACGGCGACGGTAACTCTGGCGGAGAAGACCACGTCCGCGATCGCGACCGCGACGGCGAGCGGACGACGATTCAACGACGTCTCTGCGACGTCTCGAAGACGACCGGACGACGACGCGACGACGACTCGTCGATGATGACGGCCACGCCCCAACGCCGCCCTGTTGGCCTCGGAGCCCCCTGAGGCGGCAAGGGCCACGGGAAGGGCAAGGACGGCAAGGGCGGAGGGCATCCAGGCCGCTGTGCTTTGCGTCGTCATCGCCGCATCCGGCGCCACTGGCACCGTCGTTGTTGTTGTCTTCGTCATGGTCGTCGTTTAAGCACTTTCGGAAGTTATCCAACTATTTTGGACGCGTTCGATGGTTATCGGGCATTTTGTCGTCGGTATCTGGAGACCTTCCAGAGAAGAGAGAGATACAGAGGAGTCAAGGCGCAGGTACGTAGCAGTGCTGAGTCCTGACGGGGGTTCTGCCCATCCCCTGGATCCCCCTGTTCTACTCGGGCTTGGGAGCCCTGTGGTTCCGCATCCATCTTAAGACATCATGCTTGCATTTTCGAGCGTGGGAGGAGTTGTATGTTCGCTGATGAACTAGGTCCATCTGGCGGGGGAGGGGGGGAGGATGAGGATGAGTATGAGGAGTGGGAGGGAGAGAATTGGGATGGATCAAATTTGCCAGGTCGAGCGAGTCAGAGGGCCCGGCCAATTTCCACGCTTCCTCCCACAACATGAGAGTCAACTGTGGCACAACATGATATCTGGATTGGAATGCGTTCCCACCCCAGCAAACGGAAGGCGCTCGCGCGCCATCTCGCTTCCGACGGCTTGGCGAAGTGGAGAGACTACGCGGGCTGCGCAGGGGCGGGAACGGCAAACTTCCCGAGGGGCGCAGCGGAGACGAAGCACGCGCCGCGCCGACACAGCACGGCCACTTCCACTAACAACTCGCGCGGCTCTTTGGCGAGGTCGGCATTTTTTCACTAACAACTCGCGCGGCTCTCTGGCGAGGCCGGCATTTCTTTCGCTCTCGCTTTCCTCCTCCTGCTCGTCGCTTTGGCGGAATGACAGCGCTCGTCGCGCTGTCATTCCCCTCTGCTTTCCTCCTCCTCCTCCCCCCCCAAAAAGATTCTTTCGCTCTCGCGCGGCCCCGCTGCCGCTGCCGCTGCCGTGCGATTCGGCGAAGGAGCCACGCGCCGCGCCCGCTCGGGAGCGCCGGGCTCAGGCGAAGCGTGCACGGAGCCAAGGCGAGTGGGCGACGGGTCGCCCACTCGCGCGTGCTCCCCCAGGTTGGCGAGTGAGAGGTCCGAGCGTTTTCTCCTCGGGCGGAGGGCAGAGGGCGAGATCTGACGTGCCGCCTCGATGGGTGTTCGAGGCTCGCGCGTGCTCCCCCAGGTTGGCGAGTGACAGATCCGAGCGTTTTCTCCTCGGGCGGAGGGCAGAGGGCGAGATCTGACGTGCCGCTTCGATGGACTTTCGAGGCTCGCATCTGCCAAAGGTGAACCACAGGGCGGATGGATTCCCGGGGTGCGAAAGCTCACATGCACTTCACCCCGAGCCCTCCACCCGAACAACATGCCCAGACAGTGTACGCCGCGCCGAGGCGGGATCGCCCCTTCCGGGCGATGTCTGCGCGGCGCCGAGGGGCGAGAGCGACGTTCTCCTCCGCTCGCGCGTCGGCGGAGTGGCGTGCGCAAAAAAACGTCGCGGCGCCGGAGCGAGAGCAGCGCTTCGGCCTCTCGCACGGCATGTGCGTCCCGTCCCGCTGCACTCTGCTCTCGTGCCCTCGGTGTGTCGGTGCGTCCTGTCGTCGGTCGTGTCTCTCCGCTCGATTGTCTGTGGTTCCTGGGGCCCGTCCCTCGTTCTCTTCGGCCCCCTCGGGCCCGTTCCGTCGCGCGTCGGCTACGTGCAGGAGTTCTTGTTCTGACGATAACCCAAGGATATATCATAATCCTCCCTCGCATGTTGCAACATGTGTGACATACTGTCCAAGTTGAAAGCGGGCATGCTGACTCCGTATTGACTTGATCAGGTATGTGGAGAGGTCACTGATTGGCCAGCGATCGGCTGATTTTGTGGATTGTATTCATTTCGTGGATATGGGTGAAGAGGAAGGGAACAGGATGATGAGGATGATGATGATGATGCTGATGATGATGGGGATGACGATGGTGATAATAACCATGATAATGAACATGACGAGATGATGAGGAGAAAGAGAAGGAGGAGAGGGAGGAGGAGGGGGAGGAGGAGGAGGACGAGGAAGAGGAAGGGGAGGAATATGATGGTAATGTTGAGGAGTTTGGGGAGGAGGGGTGGCCGTCTGCGGGGTCTGCAATTCCATCGATCAGGCTCTTTATCTTCCCTTCTCCATGCCCACCTTCGCCCTCCATTCCTTTCTGTCGCCCTACCCCTCGCTTTCCTCCCTCACTTCTTTCTTTCTCCAGAGCCCATGGCATCTGGTTATCCCTTTCCCTCCCCTTCACATCCCTCCCTGTCCCCCTGTCTTCTGCCCCCTTGCCTCACCTTTCTCTCCTTTCTTCAGTCCCGTTGATTGTCCCTGCACTCCTTCCCCTCCTTTCTCTCTTCCCTCCCTCGCTCCCATTATTCGCTCCCCTCGCTTCCTCTCTCATTCCTCTCCGCTCCTGCCTCCTCCCTTCCTTCCTCTCTGACGTCCCTCACTCCACGACTCTGCGTTATGTGCTTATCTGTGGTGAGACTAGACTTGCAAGTACACTTTCATACGAATGCGCGGCATGCACGTGCAGGTACGGCCATGCGGTTGAAGTCTCTGCAGAGTTGCATGGGCATGTCTCTGGCCTCATGGGCCGGCCACCAGGGCCGCCAAGGTGGACCACCATGCTCGCAAGAGGCCCCCACGAGGTCCCCAGGAACGCCCCTGAGAGCCATCTTAGAGCATATTGGAAGGTCAGACCTGCGGCCACACTCCTAGCGCCTCGGAAGCAAACACGCGACAGCTCCCAGGAGCGCCAGGGGGCGTTCAGCGCTGACCCAAGAACTCAACGCGGACTCCGACAGGATATGTTTATGCGTGTGTGTTGCTTCTGCAGTCCCGAGGCTCGTCGTGCTGCGGTGCGGGACTTCTTCAATTGCTACCGGCCCTGTGCTCGTTTGTGTGTGAGTTTGCAGGCGACTGGCACTGCGCGAACCCAGAGTGCAAGAATTACCAGGATAACGTAGTCTTCGCCAGCAAGGATAGTTGCGTCACGATTGTTGTCTTGCTGCTCTGCCGCATTTGCTTCATCCTTTCTGGCAGCTTTTCTGCGAGTGCCAACTTCAACGTCGCGATTTGGAAGCCCATGCTCAATTTCGCTGCCAGCCATGACAGCGCGAGCGCAGTCCTCTCTGGTAATTCGTAAAGAAGCTCAGCGTTGCTCTAGGGGCGGACCACGTAAGACCTGTGAGTTCGTGCACTCTGTCTCTCTCTCTCTCTCTCTTTATCTTTCTCTCTCTCTCTCTCGTTCTCGTTATGTCTCTTCGCTCTTCTCCTCTCTTTCTCGCTCATGTATAGATCCATGATTCCCTTTTCTATATCTTTGCAATCCTAGGAGAGGGGAATCACCCCACCTCCCAAACCTGGTACTGACATAACTGTTCCTGTTGCGACGGCCTTGCACCTGGGGAT